CATCGATTGATTCTCCTTGAGACGTATTGCCTTGCGTAAAGGCTTTGGCTGTATTGGCCTTAGCTTGGCTGTCACGACCTTTTCCTCCTGCCCCTGTTCGTTGTTTCTGTCCACCACGCCCTCGGCCTGTTCCACGGGTATTATTTTTCAGCCGATCACCCCACCATTCAGGGTAGTCGATCAGTTGAAAACAAGACTCTACATCGTGGCCTGTCTTGTTGCAGTGAGTACATACTGTGTTCTTGTCTCTGCCCTCGCTTTGCCTCTTTCCTGTGTGGGCTGCGAAGGCCATAGCTTCAGCTTTCTCTTCCTTTGCGTGCGTCATAGTCTGAACTTGCTCTTCTTGAACCACTATGGCATAGGCTCGATTCAAATTTGGCAAGGGTTCCGTACTCAGTATATGCGAACGCGCACCTCCATAGACCGTGTCATCTAGCCCCACCACGCCCTGCTTATGTCGCAGTTGCACTGGCCACATTGACAAGTGGGATATTACTCATAATTTCCCAATTCCTCCCATATCATCTTGAGTTTGCCATAGTAATTCAGAATCGTCATACCTCTTTGTTTGCAATTCGCCAGTTCAGATTTGAGTTGTTGGACTCGTGGTCCATTACCAACAGAAAAACGCTCCTTTATGTCATCCCAGAGTGTCTTCACAATCTCTGTGTATGTTACGGTTGAACATAAATTTGGTTCAATCGTATTCATAATCCATGACACAAGCATGGAATTCACCATCCACCAATCTTCTAATTCCACTGAATCTTCCGAAGGTTGTTTTATTGATCCATCGATGAAGCCAAATTTCTTCTTGGCTCGCAGTGCCGTTCTTATTGCTCGAGCCCATTCATCATAGTTGTCACCTCTAAGCTGGATCTGTGTAATAACACTCCCTGGATTGTCATTGGTTGATAGAATATAGGGTGAGATCACGTTACTTGGACATTGACTGCCGCCCTGATCCTTGTTTTTAGCCATGTCAAGTATAGTGTTGGTGCCATTGAAGAGAAACTACCGTAGAACGTTGATTCGTCAGAAGAACTCGAAGTGCCGCCATTGTTCACCGAAGAAGACGATGAACAGTGATACTTCAGAAACCAGAAGAAATGCTGTCGCTGTTCTCCGAAGGAGACATTGATCACCGAAGTGCCGCTGCTGGTCCGAAAACACAACGTCGGAATGAAAAAAAAACACACCGCAGTTGATCACTAGTCCGAAACCAGAAGTGTCGCCGCTATTCACCGAAGGAGACGACGATCACCGAAGTGTTGCCGCTTGTCCGAAAAACACAGCGCCGGACTGAAACCACAGGGCAGAACGCTGTCGCCGCTAATCGCTGATCCGAAGTCGCCGTTGATCACTGGTTCTAAGTCGAAGGAGATGACGATCACCGAAGTGTTGCCGCTTGTCCGAAAAACACAGTGCCGGACTGAAAAGTACAACGCAGAACTTTGTCGCCGCTGACCGCTGATCCGAAGTCACCGCTGATCACTGGTTCGAAGTCGTCGTTGATCGATCGTTGCACAGTGCCGGACTGAAAAACCACAGGGCAGAACGCTGTCGCCGCTAATCGCTGATCCGAAGTCGCCGTTGATCACTGGTTCGAAGTCGAAGGAGACGACGATCACCAAAGTGTCGCCGCTTGTCCAAAAAACACAGTGTCGGACTGAAGCACAACGCAGAACGTTGTCGCCGCTGATCACTGATCCAAAGTCGCCGCTGATCACTAGTTCGAAGTCGCCGCTGATCGATCGTCGTTGCCGCCGTTGATCTCCAGAGTGCCCTGGCTCTGATACCATAAAAAACCAAAGCTTCTCTGATTTCTACTTTCATGATTTTATTTACTCAGAATGCCGAAATATATACAGTCGAGATCCTATGTTTACAAAGGATAAGAAGATGTAAAGGATAAGAGGTATCGGAGACTCCTGATTCAATTACAACAAAACTCCGAATTCAATAATCCTAACACCAGGACTCATGCAATGTATGTACAAGGTGGGGTATTTTGTTAATTCTGAAAGGTGATAGTTCCCACGAACAAGTGTGAACGCTAGACAAAGGATTGCTCTCGACTTGCAAGTAGATTTTGATTTGGTTAACTTTTTAAAAAAAACAAAACTAGATTTTGATTGCTTTATGAGTTAATGTATAAGAAGGTAGATCTGAACCCTGCATTTAGTTATCTCAATGGTTTCTCAGTCATAGAGAGAGGTCATACACAGAACACAGAATTTCCGTTTTACTTCTATTATACCAAAGTTTCAAACCCTGTATAAATAAATGAAAAACCCAGGTTTCTCTAATAAATGATAGCTAACTACATGTGAATATGGAAGAAAGAAAAAGAATGCCGAAAAAGTGAAAAGCGAAAACCCAAATGAAGTTTTTAATATATTTTAAGCTTTTGTTGCTCAAAGCAAAACCATCGCAAACAAACTCCCCGACACGGCAAAATCACCCACAAAACCATTCCTCAAACCATGTCCAACGATAGTGGGGCCACCGCCGGACCCTCAACTGCCACCTGTGCCGGAGCCGGAGCAGACACAATAGCCCCATTTCTTGGCGACAGCACCATGACGATTGGGGAGAGCAACGGGAGACTTAACTGCACTTGATCCATTCAATAACTTTCGTTGTTGTATTCGTCTTCCGTCTGACTTTGCTTGCTCGTCCCTATTCTCTTTTTCTTTGCTCACCCACCATTTCTTTGCTTGCTTGCCATTTTTCATCCGCAGAGAACCACCCAGCTGTGTAGAAGAGACAATGAACAACCCTCTTGGTGACAACGTCCTCATACTACCAAATGAAATCAACCTTCTCATTGTAGAGGAACCCATCCACGTATTGGTAGTCAAGGTGGTTTGTACCGTCTAGCCAGTTGGGTTTAGGGATCCCCACTTCGAAATGTTGAGTCTTGCACACCTTGGAAGAGTCCGAGGTGTAGTAGAAGGAAGTGCCGTTGTTCCATTCGAGGTGGTAAGGAAGTCGGCCCAGTTGGTCCTCAATGATGTTGGAGTACAGCAGCGGTGAGGAGGGTTCCTGTGTGGCGGGAGTACAACAATGTATCAGTGGGGAGAAAGAAGAAACGTGAGAGAGAAACTTGAATCGGGGCCGGAGTACAATAGTGTGTCGGTGAAGAGAGAAGAACTGAGAAACTTGAATCAGCTAGGGATGGAAGCTGTAGCGGCAAAGGGGAGGAGAAAAAAGAGACGAAAAAAGAAAGAGTGGGTACGAAGAGTGAGTGGTTAAGCGTATTTGATAAAATAATGAAGTCCATATGCCGTTAGAAATAATTTTCTGTTAGTTTCAAATATGCTGGGCAAAGAGGACGTGTTGGAATAGGATTGGACGGGACATAAAGTTTTCTATCCCTAAGGGGACACACAATCCGGACTCGCCTAGCCCACCCAAGTTGCACCCGTTGCCCCAGAATTTATGTAGAAGTCCCAAGGTTCCCCAACTTTGCTAATTTTCCCCCACTTCCTAAATGCCCAAATGATTTTTTCCAGGTCATGCCATCCGTGTTTGTACCAAGCTCTAATCATTTTACTGGACCTTTTAACTAATACAAGGAATTGGAATGGGAATTAGAATTAGCTGGAATGAGATTTCATTCCTAAGAGAGAGGGAAGGAATGACCATTCCCTCAAATGGGGGAATGCCATTCCACCAGAAATGGGAATGGGATTCTAAGTCCAAATCAAACAGTTGGAATTGGAATGGCCCATTCCAATTTCAATTAGGGATGGCAATTTCCCCTATCCCGATGGGGACCCGACTTCCCCAACCCCATCGGGTTGGGGATGGGGATTGTTTTGCTAGAGAGGAGACGGGGACAGGAATTAATAGGAATTCCTGATCGATGACAGGGTCAAGTGTAGCTCGCTAAGAACGATGTCAGCAGCATGAATATACACGTGTACAGTTGCCATTTTCTTTCTGTTTACAAGGCTGGTTGGTACTTCATATGTCAGCCCAGAATATACAGCCAATGGTTGCTTTGACAGGGATGGAAGTGTTGGATTTGTTCCCACTCCTGTGGAGTAAACGGAGGCTGGCTGTCAGTGAGTCTGGTTGAATAGGTGTGGGCTTCGTTGAGATCGTGGCTAATGTTGAACTCCTTTCCAAATTTACGAGGTAAATCCAAGCCAAAAATCTAAATTTATCCAAGGCCAAGTTTGAGAACTGAGAGTACTTAGACTAGAACCACACCAATAAATACTAATTGGCATTTGGAAATATGCACAAAATAAGTGTTTATTCAAGAAGCCCAAAATCAAGGCTTATTTTTAAGTGTTTATTCAATAAGCTGTAATTTGAAATAGGTACTTGTTCATTTTGAAAATACCTATATTACTCCTATTTTAAATTAAGTGCTTTTCCACCAATGGCTCATGATAATAAGCACTTCTTTTTCAATTAAGCATTTCCTTGAAAGAAGCTGTAGCAGACTGGCAGGTGGAGAATTGAGAATTCTGAAATGCCAATAGTCAAGTAAAAACATTATATTTGAAATTTTGTGGCCCATGTGAGGGATGGCAACACCAAAAGAGATGTTATTTCTTCTCTTAAAAAGGAGCCAAGCTGCTTTTCTTTCTTTCTTTTTTTCTTTTGAAACAAATGTCCCCAATCACATTCTTCCTTGATCCAATTGATTGCATCTTACCATATTAATCATCACCAATCACTGATTAAAAAGCACATTCAAGTAAAAAAATGAAATAAACTGAACATTACACCCTTACGGAATACTATTTTATTTTTTCATTAAACAAACTGAAGACGAAAATTTACAACCTAAGCCCTTGGGCTCAAAAAAGAATATATCATAAGGAGTGGAGAGAGAAAGAGAAGCTACGCTCCAAGACCACAAGCATCAGACCCAACATCATCACCTGACCTTTTTCTTTGTCACAGCTCAGACCTCACTCTCTCAAATAAAACCCACTCCACTTCTCCCTCAATTTCCCTCCTCTTTCTATTTCATAATAATAAAAGAAGGCTCTTTCTTGGATCTTCTAAAGGGTTATTTCTGTCTTTCCAAAAACAATATAATACATATGCCCATTAATTTGCTAATTAATTAATCATGAGCTTCTAATCTGTGTTTCTTCTCTACCTTTAAGATTTCTTCTGTTGCTGGTGTTGCCGTTGCTGCAACTTCTGGTTATGTCTGATCAAGAGCTCAGCATACAGGAGCTCATTCCACGAATCAGGCACTCCAGGGAGGCACCAATGGCTGCAATCCTGGTACCTTAATGGAGACTTCCTTTCTTCCTCCGTCAAACTCTGCTTTCTGTAGATTGACGGGTGTGCATCCTTCCTGTAATCAGTCATTCTTGTAATATTCAAGTAGAAAACGGGTGTCTTCATCCCTTTCATTACATTCTCCAGCACTCTCATCTTTGGGGGATAAGGGGTCAGATAAGTCTCATTCTTTATGGGTTCAGTCTCATGGTCGCATTGCCCACCCGAATTCCACTGTCCACCACTGAAACCAGAACAGAACAAACGATATAGCTGTCTGTCATGCTGTTTTTCTTTTTTTTTTTTATTTTATATATTTCTCAACTTTAATGGAGATAGATTAAAAAAAGGTGGGTATGCGGGTTCTCAGTCCAAAGTTCATTGAATTGAAATTTACCTGAAATGGGAGGCAGAGTAGCCCCTGAAGAAAACCATGGTTTTCTTGGGATCTATTTTGGCATCAACCCATCTCGCCCATGTTGTCAAAGCTCTCCGAAACGCCTCAACAACATTCAGCTCTCCATAAACATGGCTTCCCTCTTGGTAATAATCCTTCCTGAAAACATTCATCATTGGGTTTATTATCTTTGCTGTATTATTTGGTTTCTAGATCCAACCAGAAAAGCAAAAAAGGACAGAAAGAATCACAAGGAAAAATAAGTACCCTTTAGAAGTCTTCTCGTGAGTCCACCAGTGACCCGTGTTGAAGATGATGATGTCTGCTGTTTTGTACCTATCAGACTTTCTCTCAATTATATCCAGCCGAAGAGTTTCATGCTTGGATCCATTAGTGTCTGGCATTTCCCATTCTTGAACCAGGAAAGGAGATCGGAAGAAATCCACGGAGCAGTTATAATCCTGTTGGTCCATCCAAACCACGAAAACAAGGAAAAGAAAAGCTTTCATTAAACATATACTAGAGAACAGAGAAACTAGGAAGGATATAAACTGAAGAAGAAGAAGAAGAAGAAGAAGAAGAAGAAGAAGAAGAAGAAGAAGAAGAAGAAGAAGAAGAACCTACTCTGAATATGAAAGAGTAAGCACCCTCAGTTCGAAATTCGTGTCTACCAGAAGCTTCAAAGACCCTGCTTTTATCTTTCACCGAGTGTCTAAGAATGCAAACCAGAGATTCCCACATATTCCTATTTAGAGAATCACCGACAAAAACTAGGCGTTTTCCTCTCAACAATTCTAACATATCTCTCCCATTCAATCTGCGTCGTAACAAAGATCGATCAATTAGTCTCAGTATAACAGAACCCAAAAACAAAAAACAAGTCAATTGATCTCACTAGAACAGAACCCAGAACCCAGAATTAAAAAATCAAGTCATATAAAGATTCTGGTTTGAATATTTATTCCAAAGTTTCAAAGAAATCTAGCAAAAATCGTCTTGAACAAATCACCACCACCACATGTCCTTGAACATCACATTCAATAGAATAGAAAGCACTATTAGAAAATGAAAAACAAATCGACCAATTCCCGAGCAGAACGAAGAACCCAATCTCCCTCTCTACCAAATAAATAAATAAACAATAATTCAAGTATCAAACCTTTGCATACCTTGGGATATTGCAACCGTTGGGTTGCCATCTGAGTTTCTGATAATCTCCATCAGGCCTACTGTTGAGAAAGCAATTAAAAGACTCATCAATGTGAGGGCAAGACCCAGGTGGATAAAGCGGGTAAGAATCATCCCTCACCCATCTCCCATCAAAGATGTTACAATGCATCAGAGACTCCATTGAGTTATCCTTCACTTGCTTCACTGTCGAACCCTCAGCTGAAGACCCATTATTCCCCTTCGACAGCGAAGCCGTAAGATTCGTCGCTCTCGGCTGCGTTGCCACCACTTTGTCAGTCCCATTTTTAACAAGACCCACCTTCCCATCAGACTTGGAAGATGAAACCAAGCTCTCTGTCCTATTCTCCGTTCGAGAAAGCGGTACAGCAGCAGCACTAGCGTTGATCTTCGCTGGGTTCTCTTGTTTCTTATCGATGGACTGTGATATCAAAGGCGTCGGCGTCGGCGTCGGCGTCGGTGGTGCAACCTGCGACTGTTGTAACCTTGGTGCAGTCTGTGGTGCAATCCGAGACTGGTTTTTCGGACTTGAACTTTGTCCATTAACTCCTTGAGGCGTTAAGATCGTAGTGTTACGAGATGCGGAGGTGTTTAGACTACTTTGTAGAGGCATAGGAGTGGAATCGTAGACGGGTTGGGAAGAGTTGGGGAAAAGGTAGGAGAAAATAGAAGAAAACTGAGATCTGTATGGAGAAGAATCGGTAGTGGAAGAAGAGGAAGAAGAGCCGAAGATGTTAGTGAACCAAGGAGAAGAACTCGCAGAAGGACTGAAAGCAATAAAGGCAGTACAGGCAACAAAAGTGAACATGAACACATAAGCGAAGAGCATTGTTCTTCTGGCTCGAAGGACGGAAAACAGGCTCTTGAGATCGGAAATCAAGTTTCCGGCACCGGAAAATTCCTTTATCACTTCCGCCATGGCGGATTTCACACACTCCAGCCCTCAGAACCCCAGGTGCAGATCAACACAACCAAGAAAAACAAGAGAGAGAGAGAGAGTCTGTTTGGGAACTGAATGTCTTATCTTTTGGAGCGGACGACGACGATAAAGAGAGAATCGGAAGGAGTTGGCATCTCACTCAAAAACAATTTTCATGCCCCTGTATTTTGATTTAATGTCGAAAATGCCACCAAGGAAACCTCGTGGTTCTAAACTTGTTACTGGACTAAGAGTTTGACACGTGTAAGATCAAAGGAACAAGATTCCAGTTCTCCACCTGGCACTGACCCCACCTTTGATGTTACGAGTGTACGACAATTGATCCAGGTTGGGCCCATTCGACGGACGGCTCCGATTCTCAAAATGGTACAGGTGGCGGATAACCATGATGTAACGGAAGGGAAAGGGTTGGGTTGCTACAGTAAATTACGCGAAGGTTTAGCCGTTTAGGGGCAGATCCGTAAAAAGATCAAGCAATAAACTCTGGACACATTGTCGGTTCGACATCACATGCTGTATTTATTTCTTCCTCAATTAATTGATGGCAAAATCGTAGTTTTCTGAGTTCGTAAAAAATTTTCGGTTACCCTTGGAATCAACCACGTTTTCACTTTTTACCGGTTTTTTTCCTCGTGTAGTTCGGCAGTTTCCGTGTGGGACCCATAACAAGATCACACCGTTGATTTTTATTTTTATTTCCGATTTTTTATTATTTATTTATTTTTTATTTTAGAGAGTGAGAAGGGTCACTTGGACTCGAGTCGGGGCGACCGGATTATCCGTACAATTTTGTTGCGTGGAGGCTTTTGACCCTGGTCTCTGACGTAACGCAATACCTATACTACTGATTTCACGGTGGTCGTTGAGCCGGAATCCGCACCGGATATATTTACCGTATTTTTAGCGGATTTGGATTTCTTTTTATTCAGATAAATACGGACTCTATCGGATTACGAAGACTTGGACAAATAGGTGTGGATAATGGATCCCGTATTATCCGCCTTAACGTAAAACCCATTGGTCATGGTTCAACCACACCCAAATACCGATTCCGACTTAGTTGAGTCCGCTACCGAGCCGTTTCATGCTCTGGCCGTGAGATTAGCGTGTCCAACCTATACATTTTCCGGTGGACCCCACTCTAAACCATGGCGAGGAACCTCAAACTCGTCGTGATCAACGAGGAAGACGACGGGAGAGGAGAAGCCGGAACCCGTCCGGCCTGCCGGCCGGGCCGGCCGACTATCCAGGGTGGATGATGGAATTGATGCGGCGGGTATCACGGCGGTTGGGTAAACGTCGGAGTACAACGGCTCTCAGATGGAAGTTTTCAAAAGGAGGCCGTGGAATGGTCACGGCCCACGGGGGGTGTGGGGCCTGGGCTGACAGTTGCCACCTATAAATCTGACGGTGGATGATAAGGCCAAGTTGCCATGTTTGAAAGAATCATGAACTTTCACATGACAGCATCAGTTTGGTGGAGTACAATGGTCCTTCCCTCCCAAAGAAAACTCCAATTAAGTGGGCCCATTTTTGGGCTGGGCATCAAATAACATATGTTAAGCCCAATTCATCAAGAGTTTATATTTTTTTATTTAATAAATTTTTCATAGTTGATAATACACGCTACAGGATACACGTTCTACGAAAAAAAAAGACAAAAATGCGTAAGGGAATCAAGGTGAGGAGAGAATAGTGTGTATGTAAGGCCCACTGGCCATACCATGGACGAAGCAAAATAACTCTCGGATCATGGAATCCAGTCGACCAGTCCCATATTGTGAATAGTTTCAATAGATTTAGGGGTGGCTCAGTTTTGTTTCATTAGAAATATGAATTCCATTCTTATTATCACCGACTTTAGGGAGGGAGTATTAGTGTGGTGTTGTGCCATTCAATGGCCACCACTATAGGCGATTTGGATGTAGTCAAATGTCAGAAAAAAAGAAAAAAAAAATCCTGGGAAGATATTTTTAATATATGATTAGGACTTCAATATATGGGCGTATCGGCTCCCCTGAAACGATACGTATCGGTTGATATGGGCATATTGTTTTTAGTTATAAGATTGCTAATAAGTTTCCCTCACCCTTTTGTTTCGCTCTCATTTTCTCTCAAACAAAATATACCTTTAGGTTTAATATGTTCAACTGGTTAATCCATGACATCATAAATTATATAATAATAACAATTATAAATTAAATGTGAAAATTATTAATATAAAAAATAAATATATCTTATATTAAATAAAAAATAAATCTAACCCACAATTCACTGATACGAATCACTAAGTCATGGACCTGGTGGTGGGTCGACCCAATAAACATTTTTCTAAGTCAATGGTTCAAGGGCTAAACAAACCCAGAGTCCTGGCTGGGCTGAAAACATTGCAAAAAAGAATTAATTTAAAAGATAAATAATATGGAAAGGAACAAAGAAATTCAAATTCAAATTTTTATTAAATTTCACAAATTTATCTTTTTAATAATCGTTCATAACCCTTTAGTTTAAACAGGTTATTCTTTTTCTCATTTTTCTATTTTGATGAATTCTGTTCAGAAGAACAAAATAAATTAAAGAAATAAAATAAATAAGCTTACCCTAAAAAATATAATTCACAAGAAATTGTTCCCTTGTTTTTGTACCAAACAATAAGAGTCACACAAGATGGGTTCTATCATCTCTTATTTTCCAATTATAAACAATTAAAAGTGACACTATCGCATTGTGATAGTGGGAATGGTAATGACCACAGAAATTGTTCTGTTAACATTTTTTGGATGGTGAAGTTACCCTAAAAAGGAAAACCTCAGCCTCTTATTTCATGGAAGTAGTTATAATTGGGCAATAGATTTACTCACGGGTCAATTTTACACTGTTTTGAGCATGGTTTTAAAAAATGAATCGGAAATGGAATCGTTTTGGCCATCGAAAAAACGGCCAAAAATTATTGAACGGGTTGACAGGCCGATGGTTCAATCGCCTGGAACAATGAATTATTGACCGATTTAACGATTTTTTGCCAAAAATCAAATTTAGGATAAAACGGAACCAATTGTCTAGACGATTCCCAGACTAAATGGTCCAACCATCCAAATCAATGGTGGTTTGAAAACCATGGTCTTGAGTGTGGACTTGGGATGAGTATATTAAAATTTTGGCAAAGATCAAACCTCAGCTTGGCCCATGAACAGGTCCATTGGGCAGCTTACCCGTTTTATAGGAATGTATATCTTATAGAAGTGAGCTTTCCTGGCCTTTGTCCAAATGATCTTCTTCTTCTCGTGCTCTTTTTACCTTAATTAGTGTAAGATCATGTATTAATATAAGTATAATTCATATATAATATATGGTATTTGAATTTAATTTTTTTATTTACACAAAAACCAAAAGAATATAAATGTAAATATTTGATTATAAATAGATCAAATGTCAAATCAAATATTGAAGTTTTGGAGAATTCTCTCTCATGTAACAAAATCAATCGCTTTCTTGAGACATCTATTCCAAAGGATTTTGATTTAATTCGATGCAAACTTTTGTTAAGAACCATGCAAAAAAATTCAACCAAGTGTCGGCAGAAGCCCCTTCCTTCAAAATGCAATCAAATGGTTAAAAAGGTATCAATAAAGCCGAATAAGCCTACTAGTCTATTAGAGATTCAGAGTATTTAAAAACAAAATTCGAGACGTCGACAGCAGGGTTCGAACCTGCGCGGGCGAAGCCCAACAGATTTCAAGTCTGTCTCCTTAACCACTCGGACATATCGACGTGATGTCTTAAAGTCGTTAATACAATATTCACATTCTCAATAATACTAATTGCCAATATGTAATAGATAAAAGATCCAAAGGGAAAGATATAATACGGGAAAAGTATTGGTTATAATACGGGAAAAGTTTTAACCAATCAAAGCACTCGTGTGAATTCTGATGAATACCACTGATTGGTCACCTATGACATCGGTTGATTGGATGTAAGTTTTTTCAGTATTATAGCTAAATTCCTTATAAAATAGCATATCAAGGATCCTAAGGCTCAACTTGGAAGCAGTATAAATATAAGTATGTATAATAAAAACTATTTACAAAATGCAAGGTTTTGCATTCCACATATTTGTTGTTCGAGTGGTTGTTAAGCTGGCCAAGGGTGCCACATGGTTGACTCCGTGGCTGCTTTTTTAGGACCACTTCAATATCATTATTCAAAACTGCGTAAAGGGTGGACGCGACCAAGGAGTGTTTCACACGAACAAGGAAGTGGACCTCATCCAATCAAAAGTTGGAGCAGAGTTAGTCAAGCACCACTGCCATCCCCCTCAAGGAGCATGAGCTCCACTAGACCGAGCATCATCGAGCTCCCCCAATGGCAACAAGGACTCAGAAGCACTCTGACCAAACAAGACTTGAAGCGGGTCAGTTGGAGCTAAGGCCTTATAGCAATATGGTCTCACAAGCACTCTGATGTATGATAACTAAGGAAAGTAATACATCGATCACAAAAAAGAAAAATTTGCTCAACAAAAAGGACTTTCATTAACAAAAAAAGAGTAATTACATTAACTACAACCCGACATGCCGAGCTGAATATAGAGGCCCTCGTAAAAGAAAAAAGGGGAGAGAGACAACACATCAATTCTCCATTGGGGGATCCTCGGCATGGTCCTGGGCATCGGCAATGACAGTATCTTTGCGAGGTGGCTCTTCGGTATCAAATAGGCCAATCCCCTGAACGACACCGACTATCTCCGGGAATTGACAAATCACTCGCCACTGACAAAGAGCGAATCCCTCCTGCCAAGAGTCAGTGGCGTAGTCATCCAGCTCATTCTGATGGACCTTCAAAGATTTATACTCGGCTACACCCTCCTCCTTCGCTCAAGCTACCTCCACTTCAGCCTCCTCGAGTCCCTTCTTCAGTAGTTTCCACGCTTCCTTGAAATCATGGGTGCAACCCTTCAGCTTGTGAATAGTTCCGTCCCTCTCTTAGACGTCGTGATTTAACTCAGCCAACTCCGCCTTTAGCTGGGCGTTCTCAATCTCTCGCAACTCATAAAATCTCTACAGCCCACGAAGGCGGTCGATAAAGCCGACGACTGAACA